AAAGTTATGGCAAAAAAAAGTATAGCGTGGAAGTTCTTTGATATAAGCACGACTCCTCATATGAGTAAGTGCAAACTATGTGATAGTTTAATTATGAGAGGAGGAAAATCTTTCAAGTCTTATGGAACTACAGCAATGGTAAAACATTTGCGTTTAAAGCATTCCAAAGAGTTTGAACTTGCGGAAGAAAAAAAAAAAGGTTCAATCGTTGCCGTCTATTTCTGAAGCCTCAGTTGCTTCTACCACCAATACAGTACAAAGTAACATTATTCAGGCTTTACAAAAAAAAAACAGTGGAATATTGATGACCACAGATCTATTCGAATCCATAAAATAATAGGAAAACTTATCACATTGGATATTCAGCCATTTTCTATTGTTGAAGATACGGGGTTTAATGAACTGATTAAAGATGCTTACCCCAATTACAAATTACCATGTAGAACATATTTCAGCCAAAACGTAATACCTAGCATGTATGATGAACTTTTTAAAGATATAAAATAAAAATCTCCGCGGCAAACTATTTGTCTCTGACGACAGATATTTGGACAGCGGATACTGCAAAAATCGCATTTTTAAGCATTACTGGACATTGGATAGATCTAACTAAATTTTCCCAAGAAACTGCTGTTCTTCGAGTAATTCATTTTCCGGAAAAGCACACAGGTGTTCATATAAAAGAGTATTTACAAAAAGGTTTAGAAACTTTTAAAATCCCGTTAAGCAAAATTCATCTTATTGTTACCAATAATGCAAGAAATATGAAGGCTGCAGTAAAAAACAGTGGAATGTCATCAATTCCATGCTTTATCCATACTTTGCAGCTATGTATTCATGACTCTATATTTAGCCAAGAAATCATCAAGGAAATTTTAACTTTATGCAGAGGAATAACGACACATTTTAATCATTCACCAATAGCATGTGCAAAATTAAAATCAATTCAGCAGCAGTTAAGTACTGTACCTCACAAAATGAAACAAGATGTTCCAACTCGCTGGAACAGTTCATTTGAAATGCTACAAAGACGTTTGAACAAAAAGTTCCTTTGGCCACCTATGCAGCAGAATATGATGAATTTAAACTTCCTACTAATTATCAATGGGGAATAGTCGAAAAACTTGTTCACATTCTTGCTCCATTTGAAAACTTAACAAAAAAATGTGGTAGGAGGGACGAAACTTGCGCACAAATTATACCATCTGTTCTTGCATTAAAAGTTTTATTACAAAAAGCTTCATCAATTGATATATACGCTGGGATTATGACGATGATTGATGAACTAATAAAATCTGTTACTAAAAGACTTGATAAATTTTTGCTTAATAAAATGTTATGTGTATCAACATTTTTGGATCCACGATATAAATTACTTTATCAACATGCAGATGAAAATGTTATTAAGGAGTGGGTTGAAGAAGCATGGAAAGAAATGCAAGGAGCGCAAGATGTTGTTGACTCTGACTCCGACAATGCTCCAATAGTAAAAGCTCCAGCATCTAATGGATTCATTAGCATTGATGATTGTTTTAAAGATGAGAACCTATGAGAACCGGAAGAAAGCAAAGTGAAAGATGTTCCGAGGCAGAAAGAGAATTAGTAGATATTGAAGTTGTTACCACTGACATAATTAAAAAGCAAACAATATTAAAGTCTGCAATTACTCAAGAAATAGACAACTACTTATCTCTGCCTCTTTTAGAAAATAAAAGTTCTCCGTTTTTGTGGTGGAGTAAATGTGGAATGCAATTTGAAAAACTAAAAAAGATGGCATTAAAATATCTTACAGCACCTCCGTCATCAATAGAAAGTGAAAGGTTATTTAGTGCTGGTGGGGACATATACGAAGCAACAAGGAGCAGACTAAAAGCAGATAACGGAGAATACTAAATGTTTGTGCATTACAATCTAAAGTTAATAAAACAATTAAAATAAGATACAGCAAATAAGTGTTGTTTAAGTTCTTTTTATTTGTTTTATTTTATTCACTGAACAGTCGAGAAGGTCTACCTTTTTTTGCAATTCTTTATATTTCTTAATCTTTTGCTTTCCATAATATAACTTTCAATGGCGGAACTTCAAATTTTGCCCCTTTCCCCACAAAATATTATTTAGGCCCGCTCCACCAGAAAAGAAAAATAATTTTAAAACTAAATATAGTTGTTAAAAAACTGTTGCACAACTTTTTAAAATAGTTAGGCCCTGCAACTCAGGCCCCTTACCCTGCATTGCGGGGTTTTGCTAAATAGTACGTCGGCCACATAACTCTTTGTTAGTTAGCGTAAAAAGCGTATTTTTGTGTGAATAGTTCAGCCCTAGAGATTTCACAAATTTTTATTCCAACTTTTAAAAAATGGACTCGGTGCCGAGTACCCGGACTCGACCCAGTTTTTTCAGCCGGGTACCCGGAATCGGAGACTCGGCATAAACTGGTTTCGGCACATCTCTAATATATATTATATATATATATATATATATATATATATATATATATATATATATATATATATATATATATATATATATATATATATATATATATATATAAATTTTATACTATAAAATTTTTTATTCTTATAAATAATATATTTTAATATATATATATATATATATATATATATATATATATATATAATATATATATATATATATATATATATATATATATATATATATATATATATATATATATATATATATATATATATATATATATATATATATATATATATATATATATGTATATATATATATTATTCGTAGGGTCTTTGCCAGTTCGATTTTTGCGCAAAATCAAACTGGCCAAGACACTACGAATTATATAGACTACGAATAGACTCATTTTAAACGCCCCGTAAGGCGTTTTAAATACCCTACTATTTTAAACGCCTGGCGGGGAACTTAAAATTTGTTCTACAAAATTTTTTATTCTTTTAATTATTATATGTTGGATTGAATATTATTCACATAAAATGAGCATGTTGAAAAAATTAAAGTACGCCTCCGAGTTATAAAATACGCCACCGACTAATTTATTTTATTAATTATTCTTTAAAATTTATTAACTTAAAAATAAATTGATTAAAATACGCCATTAGACTAATTTCTTTATTTTTTCAACATGCTCCTTTTATGTGATTAATATTTAATCCAAAATATATTATTTATAAGAATAAAAAATTTAATAGGATAAAATTTATATATATATATATATATATATATATATATATATATATATATATATATATATATATATATATATATATATATATATATATATATATATATATATATATATATATATATATATATATATATATATATATATATATATATTTACATTATGTACATTAGGGTGTTTCATATATATTAATATATATATGAAGCACCCTAATGTACATTCTATATGTTCTTTTCTGTGATTGATGCTGCATTTGAAATTTCTTTTCCAATATATTTTATCCAAAAGTATGGCGTTAGGTATTCTTTTTTTACCGATGAATTTCTTTATCTGTAACACGATATATATTATTGTTGTTGCTGTTGTTGCTGTTGTTGTTGTTGTTGTTGTTGTTGTTGTTGTTGTTGTTGTTGTTGTTGTTGTTGAAACAAAAGTTGGTTTTGAATTTTAATAAAAAAAACTTCGCATGCGCAATGGCTTACAATATCGTTCTACTCAGTGCAGTTAAGAAGAGATCCGAACGATCTGCATTTCTTAAAAGCAAAAATTTACATTTTTTGTGTTTTCCTCTTATTTTCGACTATTACTGTTATATATTTTTCAAAAGTAGAATTTAAGCTTTTTTTATACAATTTATTATTTTTTTTATAAATCTTTTTTAACCAAAACAAGCGAAACAAAACTACCACTAAAATACATAAAATGTAACGGGACAGCGTCATAAAAACAGCTTAAACAAATGTTTTAAGTATTTACATTCCAAAAATGTTTCTTTTATTTGAAAGTAAAATGACTTCGTGTTTACAGCTTTTAAAATATTCAATAAATGACTAAAAACCTCTTATTTTATCTTTTCGTAAACAATAAAAACATTAAAATCAATGTTATCACATTAGTTTTCACTCTTAGCAATTTACTACAATAATCTCTTTGAATAAATTACTAAACAAAAACGTTTCAGTATTATCTACGAGTTTAAAGTAACCTAAACCTTTAAACTCGTAGGTAATAAAATCACCGTACATTTGTAAACAAAATAAAACAATGAGCTTTGTGATTTAAAAAAAAAAACTAATCAAAACGCACACAAAAAAGTTTAATTAGTTAAAGTTAAATTACACGGAGCGGGCGTGTTCCGTAAGCCCATCGAAATTGCACGGAAGATGATGAGCTGTAGTAATTATTAAAGCTGATCGAATTTTGCTTTGAAGCTGGTAGCACTGACTACTACGTTAGGTAATGCGTTCCATGGGTGAGCGACGCGGTTGTTGAAGGAATTATAGCGAACGAGGCAGTTGTTGTCCATTTCACGATGAAAACGCTTGCGATGACCGTAGCTAGGTGGGATGTTAGGTGGATCTATATGCCAGATAATTGAGTCGATACTGTTTTCGAATTTATATTTTTGAATGAGGTCACCGCGTAAACGTCTATTTAATAGAGAGGTGAGACCAAGTTTGATGCATCTTGTCTCGTAATCGAAGCGCTTTATTTCGTGCGGTACTTTGATAACCCAGTGCTGAACACTTTTATGACATTTATGTCTTTTTCAAGATGTGGGCACCAGGCAGTAACTGCAAACTCGAGATGTGGGCGTATATAAGTGGTGTAAATTTTTTTCTATATTTTGGTATCTCTGCTTATAAATGTGTTTTTCAATGTCCCGAGGACTTTATTAGCCTTGGCAGCGGCTATTTGTGCTTGCCTTTCGTATTTTAAGTCGTTGGGAATTTGAACGTCTAGATCTTTTTCGGATGTTGAAGACTCGATTACTGTTCTCAATTAGTGACGCTCCCGTTAGCGTCGTACTCGTTCATTAAATAAATGTGTCGGGAAACATTGTACTGAAATGCATGACTTTGCATTTCTTGATGTTGAGTTCCATTAACCAGGTTCGAGTCCAAGTAACAACGCTATCTATATCGGATTGCAGACGAGCTTTGTCTTCAGTGGTTTTGACGACACTCAGGATTTTAGTATCGTCTGCATACATTTTACATAAGTTTTCGCTATTGATGTGTTCGGGTAAGTCATTAATAAATATTATGAACAGCGTAGGACCCAGCACTGAACCTTGTGGAACGCCACTGGTAACCTTTACCCAGGTGGATGACGTATTACCTAATATAACACGCTGTGATCTATTTGAAAAGAAAGCTTTTATCCAGTTAAGAACGTTACCTTCGATTCCGTAGGATTCAAGTTTTTGAAGTAATCTTCTGTAAGGGACTTTATCGAAGGCTTTGGCGAAGTCAAGAAAAAGAACATCTACAGGAAGCTTGCGAGAAACGTTGTAGGTCAGAAAGTCCATGGCCTCAAGCAGATTTGTGACGCAAGTTTTTTTTATTGACGAAGCCGTGCTGGCAATCAGCAATAAGTTTATGAGCTACAAGGTGCTGCATGATCTTTTCTTTAACAATTTTTTCCATTATTTTGCATGGTACTGAGGTGATGGAGACAGGCCTATAGTTTTCTGGGTCGAGTCTGGAGTCTTTTTTGAACAGTGGCGTCACGTTTACCGAGAGCCACGCTTTTGGGACTACACCTTGATCCATCAATTTCTGAAAAATGATGGCAAGCGGGGTAGCCGCCGCATCATTTTTCAGAAATCGATGGATTAAGGTGTAATCCCAAAAAAGTTTTTTCTTACGTTTAATTAGTAAAAAAAGTTCGGTGGTTAGCCAAGGCTGCCTGTGTTTGGCCGGTTTAGAGGTGACACGCGGAATAAATTTGTCACATAATTTGATATAGTTGTCGCAGAATATTTGATAACATTCGTCGGCATATCGGTCTTTAAATAAACTAACCCAATCAACTTGGGAAAGTTTCTCGTTTAGATTCGCGTAATTACCTCTCCTGTATATAAATTTTGAGATGTTAAAACGGGGAGAGTTGCAGACGTTTTTGGCTAGCTGGTGTTGCCATGTCATAGTGCAGTGACCTTGCGAGGCGCTACCAAGAGGAGGACCAATAGTAATATGGGTTAATCGTTCGGTTGTTTCGGTAATTACAAGGTCTAGTGTATTTTTGAACAGACCGTTGGCTTGGATAAAGGTGAGATTGATAACGTGATGGTGTAGATGTAGATCAAAAAAGGTTTTGGCAAATTTAGTGCCAAAACTAGTTTCAGCGCCGGTGGTACTGGTCCAGTCGTCGTGCCATATGACGTCGCAAAAGTTGAAGTCACCGGTGATTATTACACCATTAAACTTTTTGTTTTCTACGGCCGATTTCGCGTAGGAGATAGCTTTTACTATTTCGTTAAAGGCCAGAACATTATTGGTAGATGGGCGATAGATGCAGCCAATTAGGAGAGATTCTTGTGGGAGTTTAAGTTCGAGCCAGATCTGTTCT